TAGTAATGACGAAACCTAAATGTAATTTTAAAAAATTAACTTTATTAAGTACAGTAATTCGGAATGAGCATTTTCGTCCAAAAGCTGATATTGAAGACTGGATCATTAAGTATAGTGCTCATGATTTCCATGTTAACTATAGGATGACCCAAGACACTTTTTATAATTTACTTAATTTCCTACAACAAGTTTCACCAGAATTTTGTCAAGAAAATGTTGTGGGTGGAAATACACCTATTTCAATTAAAAAAAAAATGCTTATTGCTCTGTGGTACTTTGGAAAGGAAGGGTCAATGCAGGCAATAAGTGACCACTTTGATGTAGTGAAATCTTCGGTTTACAACATTTTAAATGATTTCATGAATGTTATTATTTTAAATTTTGAAGCATTTATCCATTGGCCAAGTAGACAAGAATGTCTGGTGATTGAAGAAAGATTTAAGTTAAAAGGAGGTATTTCAGGTACAATAATTAAACAATTTTGAACCTATTAACAGTAAGTTTATTAATTTTTCTGTTTTTTTCTGGAATAGGTGTCATTGGGGCTATCGATGGTACACATATAAATGTTAAAGCTCCATTGAAACAAGCTGATAGTTATACTAATCGTAAGCTTGGTAAAAGTATGATTGTACAAGCAGTATGCACAGAGGGAAAAATATTCACCAATATTTCAGTAGGATTTCCTGGCCGCATTCATGATGCAAGAGTATTGGTTAATTCAGAATTATATAAACAAGTAACCGAAAATGGGCCAAGTTCTCTATTTTACGATAAATATCATCTGTTAGGAGACACAGCATATCCTAACCGAGAATGGTTAATCACTCCATTTAAAAATTATGGAAATATAACACGTCGAAAAACCAAATTCAACTACCTCCATGCAAAAACTAGAGTTGCCATTGAATGTGCATTTGGCTTATTAAAAGGACGCTGGAGAAGATTATTATATTTGAATAAAACAAAGATTGAAAATGCTCCAAAAGTCATCCTAACTTGTTGCTTTTTACATAACTTTTGTTTGGTGAACAACGATACAATGAGTGCAGTTTTAACAGACTATCAAAAAATGCAAACACCGCAAGTAGTTATTAGAGAAGACTATATTGAAAGACAGCAGGGGAATATTAAAAGAGACAAATTGTTAAATTTACTGGTACTTCCAAATAACTAGACCTTCAAATAAATATATATAATTTTATTATCTCTTTACATTATATTATTCATAGTTAACAATCTAATAATGCTACTTTGCAACACTTATACACTAATAAAACAAAACAATAAAATCCATAAAATAAAAACATAAATTACTCCTTAGTAAAAATAAATAATGATTTTTCATAATAGTCTTATATACCTACTAGTTAATAATCAAAATAATCAGTCTCGCATGTTTGTTACTTTACAAATACATATGCTTATCAAAAAATAAAAAATAAAGTCCTTAGGAAATTAATTAAAAAATAAAATGAAAATACTAATATATATCTTATGAATTATGAATATACAACTAATCAGATTCAGATGAGCTTACATCGTGTTTTCTTTTTTTGGCTGGTTTTTTGCTCAAACTTTTAGCAATTGTTTCAAAAATTCCAGCCATCTGGGCACGATATTTAGTTTGTTCATTAAGAACTTTCATAAATTCTAAGTGTTGGTCTTTCTGGATCATCATCATTTCTGAATGTTGTTTGTTTATGGTTTGAATAAGTAAGTCAGATTTATTTGTAGGCTTTAGAGTTGTTTTAGGATTGTGAAGTATTGATGGTGGCAAAAGTTTTGGTTCTTCATCTTCATTATCAGAAAGGTCAGTAAATAGGGATTTATTGGGGACTGGCGATGAAACTGATGATACCATTCCAACGTTGCTATTTGGAATACATTTGGACATTGTACTAGTGTTAGTTGATAATGTATCTAATACTGATGGTGGATTAATTTTATGTTTAGATTCCATAAAGCAGTGCAATATATCATAATGGGGAGGAGCCTTCATAAAACCATTACCAGTTTTTAATGATCTAGCTTTATGGTTCTGATAGGACTTCTCCAAATTTCGCCACTTCTGGAAGCATTTGTTTCCACCTTCTTTTATGTTGTCTGCTACATTATATCCAGCTTCTTTCATTTTAGAATATACTGTTTGCCAGACTTTGGTTTTTACTGTTTTCTTGTCAACCATTTTTTTTTGTACTTCCTCACTTATTACAATAGAAATGAAGGTCTCCGTCCCTTCGTTATCCTTTGGTGTAGGCCGTTTGCTAGACCATATAAACCCTGTTAACAACTATCATGATTATAATCTTATAATTTATATAAATGTATTAGTTTTGCCTACTGATAATAACTAACTAGTTAACTAAATTAAATTTCTAAAGATTTAAATATATAGACACCAAAAAATTATTAACTTGCCTAAAAAGAAAAAAATACCTACATTATAGAAAATATTTTAATTATTTTTGACATAAGTATAATAATATTTATACATTTGTACCATTATTTCTTACCATTTTCAACAGAATCTTCTACTGATTGGTTTTGGTTGGCATCCACTGGCTCGCTTTCAGATGTATCTAAAATTAAAAAAACATAAAACCAATAATATAATTAAATACTCCTATTATATAAAATTTAAATGCATTAAAATACAAACCTTGATCATTATTAAATTCAATCGGATCTATTTCGCAAATTGTATTCATATCATCTTGTGACAAAGCACCAATTCCATTTAGGTATTCGATACCCACAAACATTTCATAATTTCTGCCATCTAAAACCAAGTACACATTTATGTGATGCTCAAAGTATAATTACATAGTATAATGAATACCAACATCCTTATAAAGGAAAATACGGTTAAGAATGGTACCATTAAAATAATAGTTGTGGTGAATAGGCAGTGTCGGTCACAAAAAAAAAACCAAATCATTGGAAAATTAGTACATTCGTCGCTCCGCTCAGAATCTTAAAAGGTCAAACCCCCAGTCCTGTAAAGTATTTGAGTAAAAGTATATATTTGGTTGGAAAAATATTATTGTCAACTACAATAATAAAATAATAGTTTTATTTAATATTCTGTATTTCTGTGTTAGCCGAAGCCCGAAGGTTTTTAATAATTAATAATGTAATGTAATAAATAACTTACCTTTGTCCAAAAGTTTGCAATAAACTTCCCTGTTTTTTATTTGTATGCATTCCTGTTCGTCTCTGATAAAATCAATGAAATCGTAATTAGTACTTTCCATAATTAAAATTATTAAAATGTACTTGTGTATTATATAGGCAAATCTACTATTGGTTTGAATTATGTAAAATTACTTAAAGTAAATTTATTAAATTAATATTTTATTGTTATCACGTTTTTATCATAAACTTTTTAGTAACCAAATCTCAGTAA